TCATTCCACCCCAGCTCACAGGAGGTAAGGTCCTCTCTCCACTCTGCACACACATGCACACAGACGAGCACCAACACCCTTCTCCAGCACACTGCACAAGGAATGAGAATTTTGGCATTCATTTAGGAAAGGTGGCTTCGTCTGGGTCTAGACACTGATCACGGGGTCTCACCTACATCTTTCCCTCCCCCCTCTCCACGCATCCATCCACCTCATCCCATCCGATGGGGGAGTCTTGTGCCCACTTCTCATGTCTCAATAGGGGAGGGAATTCCCACTCCACTCTCTGGGAGGGGAAGTGTAAGAAGAACACTCCCTCTTTTGTGTCCTCGCTCCCCACTTCCTTCCCAAGGGAGGACTGACCTCTGACTGGTAGCTTAGCAAGAAGCTGAAGTCTGGTCTTCTGGATTTTTTTTTTTTTTTTTTTTTTTTGCTGTAGGCAAAGGTAACACATTCTCCATTTATATATCTACGTGGTAAACTTACAGAGGAGGTCCTGCCCCTGCAAGGCAGAGGTCTGCCCTTTTGGGGGAGGGCAGGATGTTCAATTTGGGGAAAATATTAGCAAGTCCATTTGGCCAGAGAGCAAAAGCTACATTCTCCCATCAACTTTATTAGTAATACTGGTCAACCCAATGTTTTGATGTCCATCAGTCTGTCCCTTGTGTCTTACTGTCTTATTTCTCAATTCATTCTGAACTTGGGAGGAGGAGAGGTGTTATCTACCGACCCCTTAAGCCCCCGTTGTTGATGCAGCCACCTCTCTGGACCTATCCCATCCCTCTCCCTCTGTCCATCAATCCACCTAACATGGATTTAATGCCTACTTTGGGCCACCACTTGGATCCCAGAGATGAGTAAGAGTTCATCTCTGCCCTAGAGGAATTCACAGTTTAGTGGGGAAGGCAGACTCATAAATTATAAACCATAGATTAAGCTGAGGTATAAACCAAGTGCTTGAGGTTTAGAGCTCATGAACCCATTCTGGAACCTCAGAGGAACCATATCCCTACCTCTCACCCTCTCAACCAGCATACAGCCCTGTGGCAGACTCTTTTTCCCAGACAGTGACCTGAGAGGTGAAAGAGCTGCTTCTGGCTGCAGAGAGAGAGAGAAAAAGAGGAAGAGGAGCAGGCCAGCACAGGCCTTTGAGTTCTGTTTCCCGACTTTGAAACCGGGCGTGAGGCTTCTCAGGGCCTCATCCTCCCACCTGTCACATGACATGGCTGGGCTGGAGGTCTCCAAGTGCCTTCCAGTGCAAATGCTATAGACATCAGAGGTCGGTGCTTGGAGACTCCCTTCCTGAGATTCCCCAGCCAGGAGTTCCAGGATCTTTTTTGCTTGTCCTTCCCTCAACAGAAGGGAGGGGCCCCTTGTCCTGGAGCTGGGTCTGGGTCTAGGTTCACTAACATGGCTCAAGGAAAATCTCCTGGAAGCCACAGAAAACCTTTGATGGGTGGTTAGCACTGGGGCAGGGGTGAGTGGGGAAGAGAGTCATGGTCAGGGACCGGTCTGGCCAATCCCTCTCTAAGCCAAACCTAGTGGATGTGGTAAGCAAGGCATGGTGGATACAGTGGGGAAAAGGCTAGAACTTTTTCTGGATGGAACCAGGACAGAAAGTACAAGAGGGCTGCTCCCAGGGGAAGAGTTCAAACACTTTGGGACTGTCACATTCTCTGCCCACACACTTGCCAGCTCGTCTTCCCTCCCACTTCATCCCAATGGCTGATAAACTCTAGAATCCCTGTGCATTGAGACCAGCTGGCATTAGCTCTCCTTTCCCTCTCAGCCCTCACCTCAGGGATCTCTTGTCCTGTCCTCCCAATCTCTGGTCTCAGGAAAGTGTTCCCTCCTCCCCCATAAAGCCAGACCCTTATTCTCAAGACCAGGCTTCAATTTCCAGAGGGATATAATCATAATAAGGATACTCAACTTCATGGGGAGGGTCCTACTCTCCACTAGGTGCTTTACATTTAATCTGATTACTCCCCATCCCCTCACATATCTCCAGCATTTTCCTGAAAACCCCTTAGTTTTTACCCGCTCTCTTAACTCCTGTCTTTTCCCCATTTCTTCTCAGCTAGGAACCTCTCAAGATACCAACAGATGCTGCCATAACCTGCCTTCTTAAGTTTTTGCAATTTGTATTCTCTCAAAAATCCTATTCCTAGAATACTCCAAAGCCCTTAAGCCTCACCCACTCACTCCTTGGCCCCTACTCTCTGCAGCATTCTACACTGTCTCCTCCTTCTGAAGCTCTCTTCTCCCCTGGTTTCTATTTCACATTCTACTTTCTGTGCCGGTTCCTGCTCTTCCTACCACCCTCCTATGAACGCTTCCTCCCATCCCTAACCCAGCCCCAGGGCTATAGTCCCTCACCTCTGGGAGCGCATCCAGTTTCATGATTTCAAGTGTCCCTTCTATACCCAAGACAAGGCCAATGTCCCCTCAGTCCCAATTACCCCTGAGGTCAAGTCCTGCCCCATGCCCTTATCTAAAGACCATCTTCTGATAGACTGGCTGCCCATACAGACACAACCAAGCTGCACCAAAAGTAATGGAGCAGGGATCAGAAGACATGAGACCGTGAAGCTGAGCTATCGAGTTACTTGCCCCAGTAAGTCTTTCTCCTCAGTGGACCAGTTTTCCTACTTCATGATGGGGACAACCCCTGCCCTCTTAGCTCATAGCGTGCTGTAGTTATCACTTAAAAACAAAAAACAAAGAGGATTCTTCTTTTGCAGCTCCATCTTCTGCCAGACATGGCCATCCCCCAGCCCCAGGAGAGCTTTGTGACTGCTCCCTTTCTTTAGGTTCCACAAAAATAGGGCATCAAGTCCTGGGGAGTTTTTTCTCTGAAATGTCTCTGGGGTTTGAGCCCCACTGAATTCCTACTATCACCCCCAAGGACCTCAAGCCTAGATGGACAGACTACCTTCCTGACTGCGCTGATCCATCCTGTGTACTGCTGTGTCTCTCCACTCCCATCACACCACAGTCCTTACCAAGAATGCTCGGTGGCCCTGTTGCCCATCCGATGACATGTACCCAGGCTACCACCATTCATGGCCCCACCTGATCTCTGCAACTTTTCTTCCCTTAGCAGCTGACTCAACTAGTCCACTTGAGTCTGGAGAGCTTCCTGCCATGTTTTCACTTGGGCAGCTCCTCACTTCCTGTTTTTCTTTCCACTCTACCTAAACATTGCCCATTCTTTAAGTCCTAACTGCCTTTAAGGCTTTTCTGATTTCTAACCCCCTTATGATTTTTCCAGTTGGTGTGTGTATGTGCACACACAAGCCCATGAGGCTAGAATACTGCTTTAGGTTTCTTTTTAACTTTAGCCTGACTGCTCCTTTCTCCATGTAGAACTCCCTTTAGAGAACTGAAAGCAGTGGACTTGGGTGTCAGACCACCTGAGCCTACATTCAGAGTAAACCTGGGCCTCCCCGAGCTTCAGGTTCCTCAGCTGTAATAAGAGCATAATAATACTTACCTCACTGGATTTTCACTGAGAATCCAATGAGATAAGAGAAAACACAAAGCATGTCTGGTACAGAACAGAGACTCAATACTGGCTGAAGGGTAGCCTGGGCTCACAGCTTGTTGTAAGAAATAGCAATGATTTATTATTTTTAAATGTTTGGGTAAAACTGAAGCCTTAGGGGCACTATTCACTACATTGGTCAGTGTTTCTCATTTGAAAACCTCTATTACATATTCTTCTCTGAAGAGTACGGAAAATGTTTGTTTCTTCTGATGAATAAGTATATTTCCTTATTATAATACCGTGCTCTAACCAACTGAACTAACCAGGCCCTAAGTATACTTCCTTTCATGTGACAACAGAAACTACATAACCTTAAGGCTTTCCCTTTTCCACCTCTGGCTGCCAGGAAGCTCAGAGCAAGGCTTTATCCTCAATTACAGATCTCCTCGCTAACCTGAAGGAGGCAGTGTAGTATTGGGACAAAGTAGGGGCCCCGGTCAGGTGACATGGGCTGGAGCACACCTGGCCCCTTATTATCCTGGATAACTCTGTAGGCCTCTTTGGGCCTTAGTCCCCCTCACTTGTGTAAAAGGGATAATAAAAATGAGGATAATACCTATTTTACAGAACTGTAATGAGACAATGCACTTAAAATATTTTATAAATTGCAAACAAAACAAAACAACATATGAAAATTGCTTATTAGCAGCCTGGGTTTTCTTTTTTTTTTTTGTCTTTTTTTGTCTTTTTCCATGTCCAGCAACGGATCACAACCCTCAGTGTTGCCCCCGTACCAGACCGGGGACCGGCAACGGGACCGGCAACGGGATCGCAACCCTCGGCGTTGCTTCCGCGCCTTGCTCAGCCAGTGAGCGGGAACCGGTCTGTATGTGGGATCCGAACCCTCGGCGGGAGCACCGCCGCACTTCCCAAGCGGCGCACTATCCAGTGCGCCACTGGGCCGGCCCAGCAGCCTGGGTTTTCTAACAACTATTTTCCCTCTCTTCCCTCTCAAAACTTGCATCTTATCTTTTAAAATTTGTTTTAATAGTTTTATAGTTTTATTATAATTGTCTCTTAATCTGCTGTGATACTTTCTGAAAGTATACAGAGCACAAATAACAAAATCATTCCTAAAAAGCAATCCCCCTGAGTGCGAGAAATCATGTCCTTCTCTTGTTTTGTATAATAATGATTTACATTTGAAAAACTTTTAGCTATGAAAAGAATTTTTGGTTTCTGTTCTTATGCTAGTAAGGCCAAAGGAAGTACTTAATACTCAGTTGTTAAAATAAGCTGAACTGTAGGTGAGACTGCGAGAATGGTTCAAAGGGGCTTTTTGTTGGGCCTGTACTGATAATGACTGATTTAGTCATTCATTTGTTCTTTCATTCATCAAAGCTGATTATGAGCCAGGTACTCTATTGAGCACTGGGAAAACAAAGGTGACCAACCCAAACACAGTGTCCACTCTGTGTAGAAGCTCACAGTGCAGCCTGGGAGGTGAGTATGTAAAAAAAAAAAAAATCATCCCAATGTGGCAAGGTAAGTGCTAACAGAGCAGACAACACAATAGCACAGGAACACCACAGACAGCAGGCCTGGGCCAATTGGGGTGTGAATACGGGTGGAGGGGATGTAGAAGAGGTGATATTTGCAGGAGCTTGGGATTTCTTTAGTCAGAAGAGGTAGGGACAAGGGTTCGGGTAAAGGAAACACACAGTGTGGTCTCTCCAGGTAACCCCAAGTGGTCCAGTTTGCTCAGAAAACAAATTGGGTTAGAGACTCATAGAAACTGGCTGGAATGGAGGCAGGGGTCAAACTAAGAAGAGCCCTTGTAGCCCCCAAGGAACTTGGATTTTATCTTGAAGGGGCCAGGGATTGGCATGGTCAGTGAAAGATGCTGACTACCAGGAAGTGAGGGCTTTGAGACATCACAGACATGACGGCTCCGATATGGCTCTTTCAAATGAGGTTCCATATTGCAAGTTGCTGTGTGCAATGACTGGCGAATCCTCTGGAGACAGGACTTGACTCTGCAGGTAGGGACTATCTGCTGCTGCAGGGATGCATCTAGGGCCTGCAGGAACATAGGCCAACTGGGATGTTAAGAAGGGCAGTCAAGTTCTGCACTAGGGCTGGACTAAGTGACCTTTAAAGTTCCTTCCCAATCTGAGGTTCCAGGATTCTAAAGCAAGCCTGGTAGCTGAACTGGTGCTGTGGGCTGGGATCTGAGGCTGGCGAGCTACCCTGGGCAGCAAATGGGTTAACCCTCAAATAACTTTTATATATGAATTAATGTGTAGAGGTGGGAGCCAAAATCTGTTCCATTAATTTTTCCATCCATTCCAGGAGCAGTTAGGTACACACAGTAAAGTTTATTTTGGTGCATGGTATACTTCACTCCATTAAAAATAAATTAATCAGCAAATTCCTGCCTGGCTCAGCTCTGGTTTATGTAAATAGTGCCCAGCTGTAATGAGTTACAAGGTGTTATTATCTCACACACACAGAGGAGGCTTCACTCTAGAGCTCCGCTCGCAACAAAAGCATCTTAAATAAACTGAGAGAAGGTGGTTTGATTTGTAATGTTTTCACAGAAGTGGGATATACCTCACCCATATAGAGTTTCTTTATATGACTCATTTTACAGCAAGTTAAATGAAGAAAGTTTGATGGGGGAGGGAGGGGCAATATGGTTCCCCACCCCCTTTCTTCAATTTAAGAAAATCCCCCCAAGAGATGACCCACATTCAGAGGGAAAAGGGGACTGGTCCTCCAGTGCACAGACCAGGGTGGCTCTGTGGCCAGTGCTCCAGAAGTAGGGAAGTGGGTAGAAAGCTGAGCACGGGGCTGGTCCTGGGACAATACAACTAAGCCAGGAAGAATGTTCTCTTCTCCCCAATATCTCATATAAGGGGAGGCCAAGAAAGGAAAGACATCATGTTCCTCACCCAGTTCATTGGAGGTGACAAAGGAACCTTTGTTCTTGAGGCTTCTTTCCAAATGACTTAAGATATGACAAGCTCCTTGGCCTTCAGAGGCCTACTGGGTCCCAGAGGACAGGCCTGGCAGGCGGTGCCTTGGCCAGAGCAGTGACACATCTCCATGAACTGGAGGCAAGAGCTGCAGCAGAGACCCTCCTGCCCTCTTCCCTCTCCCTGTCTCTAACTGAGTTGGGCAGTACTCCTTAGCTTGTGAAATCTACCATCTCAGATAAGTTTCTAAAAGACCCTGGAAGAAAAAGAGCCACGGCAGAGATAAGCCTGTGTTTCCTTTAATGGCCAACTCAACCCCCATGGCTCAAAGCTGGAGGACAGAGCATGGCTACCCGTGTTGACTCAGCAGTATTACAAACTGCTCCAGGCCACAGTCAGCCCTTGGTGGAGGTGTCCTCTTTCTAACCTACTGCATCCCTTCTTTAGCCTTTGGGAAAAGCTGTCAACCACACATGGTTGCTGAAGGGACCTGGGGAGTGTGTGTTGTGGAGCTCCTGCTCAGGGCTTCTCCTGAGGGAGAGGACACCCCAGAAGAGCTATGGGTTCCCCCAAGCACTGTACCCAACCAGATCAGATCCTGGGCACATTACAAGGAAACTCAACACAAATGGGGCCAGATATTTGACAGATGCTGTTCAAAGCTCAGTTCAGGCCACTTTCTGTGGGGTCCTGGGTCAAACAGGCACTTCTCTCCTGGCGATTTCTCAAAGCCAGCCAGCCAGCTGTCTAGAGAGGGACCAGCCCATCAAAGGCCCTCGTCATTGTAAGTGGGGGGATGGGGCTTCAGGATGCTCTGAGGATTCTTCTCCACTAGAGGGCGCCAGCTCACCTCCCCTGTCAGAAGCAGATCCTCACCATTCATGGAGTCCAGGTACTGCATCTGCAACGGAGAGAGGATAGAACAGACGAAAGATTTCAAAAAGGGCAGGACAAACATGATGTGGCATAAGGAACCAGCCTCCCAGAAGTGAGGAAGGGGAGGGGACATGAGGGGACTTCTGACCATCCCAACTTCCAGGCCATGGGGTCTCTAATCTCCCAGATTATTTTATTAAGGAGAGTTGGAGGAACAAGTCACTGGGGAAACTCATTAGGAAGTTTTTAGGGAATTCCCCACCACACCTCTGAATGGAGAAACACACACACATACCCCGGCCACCCACCCACCAGGACATTTCTCCCCTGGATACACCCTCCCTAGAAAGCTCCTGCGTACCAGGAAGTCAGGGCTTGTGATTTACAGAAGTCATCCTGTCCACCCCCACCCAATGCTGCTGTATGAAAGAATCCTGATTACGCCCCTTTCTCGTGGTACCCAAGGTGGCCACTTCCCTTCCCTGAGATTTAAATTCCTTCTTCTGAGAGGGGATAGAAATGTGCACCTCACAGGACACATGAAAAGATTAAATGGTATAGCATATGTACATTGCTAGTCACTCAAACATTTAAAAAAAATATATATGTATGCCTCTACTGTCCTCTCATGGGCCCTAAGGTCTGTGGGCCCCAGCTCCACCGCTCTAGGACAGCTGGGGGACTCTAGCTCCCTTGAGCAGCTCTGCTGTTAAAATGGTCATCATCCCAGAACCCACTGCTGCTCTCCTATGACTTTCACCACTGGTCTTGGTTTTCCCTCTGTTAACTGGAGAGACCCAATGCTGTATCCTCCTGCTCCCTGCAACTGACAGCTGCTTTAACATCTGGAGACAGTGATCATGTCCCCTCTAAGCTTCCTCTCATTCGTGCCTCCAGCCTGTTTAGCATAGAGATGGTGAGTGAGCTCCAGATGCTACCGTCCTGGGGAACATCAGGCCCCAGGATGCTCTCAGGCCTGCCCAAGGAATCTAGGTGGAGGGCCCTGTGATGGAGAGGGGACACCTTTGATGGAGAACAGGTACAGCTGCAAAGAAGTGCGGTCAGGCAGTTCTGCAAGAGACAGGTGATCAAATGAGTGGCTGAGTCTCAGGAGATGAAGGCAGACTCTGGGAGCATTCCCCAGGCTGCCCGCTGGTAAGGAGGGCAGCAGAACAAGAGACGCTTTCAGGTGGACAGGCAAAATCTACGGTAAGAACTGGATCGGCACAGGAGTCAACACTGGGTTTAGAAAGATGAGGCTTCATTGTGGGCAGAGGAGAAGGGGAATGTGGGCAGAAGGCTTCACCTTAGGCCTTCAGTCATCCCCTTCTTCCAAGAATTCATCACTCTTGCTGCTTCATCTTCAGGCTGCTCACCCTTGAACTCAACACTAGCCACTCACATATACCTCAGGTCTAGATTTCCACATGCCCCACCATCTCTTCCAGGGCAAGAAATTCCACTGAGGTGCTATCTTCCCTAAAGCCCACTCCTCTCTCCAGCAACTCCATTTCGGTCCTACTTCCACTATTTTGCCCATTTCCTAGGCTGAAAACCTTAACGTAACGTCTGATTGTGTCTTGGGCCATTGACCACACCAAGTAGCCCAGCTTTCTGGTCTTTCCTCATCCACTCAGTGAGATGAGTGCTCCTTTCCCTGGCCTTCCAAGCACTCTGTCCTATCTGTTCACATCACAGACTGACTTACTCCAGGGCCAGCTGGATGCCTGACAGGATTCTTCACCAAACCATGAGCTGGCTCCTCTAGAGCAGCCTCAGGTGTTATTAATCTCCGCTTTCCCAAAAGAGTGCCTGGCACAGCAGGTGCTCAGAAGAGCTGCTGACGGAACTTGGTCCCCAGCAAAGCTCCCCGCTTTCCTAAGAGCCCCATCACTGTTTTCCCATTGCCTGATTTATTGGGACCACAGGGCTTTCTTACAGGGAGTGTCCACTGTATTATAGCAGCCCCTTCTTGAGGGCCCTCCAAGAGGTCCCAGCTGTGCCTTGTCGCGGCCTCTGGCACAAGGCCACCATGGCAGATGGAAAAGCTGGGTGGGTCTCTCAGAAAACAGCATTTGCACTGCCAAATGCGACTCCTGTCTGAAGGCGAGTCCAGTCAACAGTGTGGGTCTCAGAATTCTCTATGGGTGGGGCCTCCTGGCAGCAGTGCTTTTCCCCAGTTCTGGCAGATTTCAAGAATCGTCAAACAGAAGTCCTGATTTCTGGAATTCTCGACCCTTGGGGTCTGAAGAGCCCCAGTATATGGCTTTTCCAGCAATCAATAAGCTAGTCCTATTGGCCCTGTCTTTTCCTCAAGAGCTGGGTCTGGCCTTCCCTTTCCTGGCTGTAAGAGGCTTGAAGGCTATGGAGACAGGTGAACAAGAGAATAACTGTCAGGTGAGGCCCCTTCTGCTCCAGGGGTCAGGACCATGAAGCAAAGGTGTGACTCATGGGACAGCCTGAGCTGATGAGCTGTCTGGAGCAGCTGAGGCCTCTAGTGGCTACATGAATCACCAGCGTGGGGTCTTGGGCCAGCTGTGCATTCTGACTCACTGGGAGACCCTGGAGAAGCCTCTATGTTCCTCTTCCCTGACACACAGCTCACTCATCTACAGAGTTTCCCATCAATATAGGACTTGGGGGCAGGGAGATCAGGACTTAATTGTCCGTGGGCTTGAAGAAAGCCATGTAATTAAGCACCACCTGCTATGCTGCTTTCTCCTAGAAGCTTTGGTGTCAGGCAGCCCTGGAGAGTCAGAGGGGTGAAGAAATGAAGTGGAGGGACCCTGCTTGACTATGAAGAGCACCCAGTGGGAAGAAGCTGGGGGGTGTCGGTGGCATGCTCCTTGGAGCCCAGTCCTGCTATAAGTCAGGAGCAGGAAACAAATCCCGGAGCACATGTACCTTCTAGGCTCTGTGGGCCCAGCATCCAGCACACCACCTGCCATGTAGCAGGCAATGAAATGTGTAGTGAATGAATGACTAAGTTTCTGAAAGCAGGAGACTACTTGGTGCCTGTTCTCTTCTGTTCCCACTGCCTGGTGCCCTGGCCTAGCTCATGGTTGGACACACAGAATGTGTTCTTTCTTCATCTATGTCTGTTGCTGATGTGACTTGGCCAGAATTCCCTCAGACTGGCCCCTGGTAACTCAACCTGCCATGATCCCCTGATGGTCCAGCATCCACAGACCTCGGGGAGGACCTGATGTCCACAAGACTCTGAAGGGGAAGGGAAGGGCCACTCACCTGTTTCCTCACATATTCCACTAGCAATTCAAGCTGTCGAGGGTCTTCACATTTCTGGTTGAAGAAGGTTCTCCAGAGTGCGGCAGCCAGCCCATGATCATCTGAAAGGATGCCCTGGAACAAAAGTACAAGAACTGGTCTCCTGGGGAGTACTGCAGAGCCGTAATACAAAAGCTAGAGATATTGTGAACACACTAGCAACCACAGAATTGGCTCAGAAGGCCCTTACAAATACTGTCAGCAAGAAATGGGGCAGCTACATGGGAGAGCTGGAAGCAGTTATGAAAGCATCTGATCCTACTCCTTCATTTTATATGGAGGAAGAGCATGGGATCCAGAGGGGCCAAGTCACTGGCTAAGGTGATGCTCAGCTGGGACTCATGTCTGATCTACCCTCCCAAGCATGGTTCCCTCTACCGCACTGCGCCTGGCCCAGGCAATGCTGGAGAGGCCAAGAGGAGAAATGGTAGCAGCAGTGCTTCTGCTGCTGTCTACAGGGCACAGGCTGGGAGTATTGTGAGTGTATGTTTTTCCCAGGAATGGATGTGGACATGGACATGGATTGCACCTTCTCGCTTGGTCCAAGGGCACACGTCTGCAAGGCTCTTTGGGGAAGGGAGTCCGGAATCTTGTCTTCACTGTCACCCAACTTTGGGCTGGACATGGCTGGCCCAGCCTCTCCCAGAGTAGAGGAACAGGATGTTCAGCAGGATTGCCATGGGCCACAGAGGGTAATGCTCAGAGCCTGCATGTGTGCACGCCTAACACTGTCTCTCCTGACAGAGTAGAGAGAACTCTGTGAGGAAGCCCAAATATCGCAGAGGCTAATTAGAGCCTCAGCCATGGGCTAGGGCCATTATCTAGCTTGGACCTCTAGGGGAGGGTGTGGTGGGGTATTGTTTTCTGGGGTAAGGGTGGCTGAATGGAAAGGCCCTCGGAAGTTGCTCTGTCCAGGTGCCAAGGTAGTATGTGGAACCAAAGTGCTGCCTTGGAGTTAGAAGGCCAGTTCAAGTCCTAGTCTGCCACTGCCAAGCTCAAGGCTCAGTCTTCTCACCTATTAAAAAGAAATGAAAATACTTGCTCTTCTTACAGCATCCTTGAATTATAAAAATAAGATAGTGTGAAGGTGTTTTGTTAAGTCTAATATGTTGGATATACAGATTAGGAGCATGCTTTGGCAGGCACCTGTGGATAAAGTAGAAACAACAGTGGGATCTGGGAGTCAGGCCACTTGAGTTCAAATGCCAGCTCTGTCACTTGATAAAAGCCATTAGCTCTTCCTGAGCCTTAGCTTCTCATGAGTTAAACAAGTATAATAATACCTATCCCACAGAGTTGTTTTGAGAATTAAGGGATAATGGCCATGAAAGGCTCTGTAAGTGGTAAACATTACACAAAGACCCAGGATCACTTACTCGACTTTATATTGTGGTCTGGCCTCTTGGGCACTGTGGTATATGAGGTATGGCTCCAGACTCGCTGCCAGGAAGTGCCATGTCCAGTAAGGGGTGCTGACAGTTTCATGGAAAAACATTCCACCTGTTCCAAATGCCCCCTGCTGAACACCTTTGGGCACTGTGGTATATGAGGTATGGCTCCAGACTCGCTGCCAGGAAGTGCCATGTCCAGTATGGGGTGCTGACAGTTTCATGGAAAAACATTCCACCTGTTCCAAATGCCCCCTGCTGAACACCCCTATAGTTCCACAGCTTAAGACTGCCCTGGCACAATGGCTGAGTCAGGAAAACCAGCTTCTTCTGGCAGATGGGGACAGGGGCCAAGGACAAGCTCAGGCACATCACCGTTCTCCAAGCTGTTCACTAACACAACAGCCTGCCTGTGTCGGCAGTGCCCTGGGCACATGCTGGAGTGCTGCTGGCAGCAGCCCACATGTGCTACATTAGAAGGAATGGGAGTGGGAGTGGGTGTTACAGGGACTTGGAGAATGAGCAGAGTCCAGGACAGGAAAAGCCTGGGAGCCATGGCCTGCTGCAAACAGGCCGCCTTGGTGGTAAGTGAGATGGCTGGGGAGAGGCAAATCTATGATCAGAACTTCCTGAGCAGTCAGAAGGAAAAGGATGACTCAGGACTCATTTGTGGTGATAACAACCTGGCTGTTCCAGACAGTAGGGGTTCCTTCACACACCTGGCTCCTAATGACTACATATGCCGAGTAGACAGATATTATTATCCCCATTTGAAAGATAAGTAAACCAAGGCTTAGAGGTTATCTAGCTAATTGGTGGTAGAACTGGGAACAGCATGCACTGATGAGGTCAGGGGATGGGGCCTGACTAGCTCTAGTCAGAACGCAGTGCCTGGCACAGAGTGGGATTGCAATAAAAATGGCTAAATAAATAAATGAACCCAACTGCAGCCCTCTTTCCATCATACTGCTAGTAAATCAGTGAAAACAAATGAGAGACTGGTCTGAGAGGCAAATTTCAAACTAAGGAAGCAGAAAAAGAAAAAGTGTACCTGGGAGCCAAACATTAGGTTGCATAGCAATTTTCCCATAATCTAATAGGGTGCCTACCTGTTTTCTCTCATGATACAAAGAAAACATCCTTCAGGAAAGTACGATACCTAGGTCTAGAGTAACGGAGAGGAAGCTGAAGGGACTGTCCTGGCTCTAGAGGGCTCTGCTTATGGTTAAGGATTTAGAGTAGCAGAGTTTCACTCAGTGAAGATTGATCTGATACCACCATGTGCTTATTAGCATGATGCCAAGAACACAGAATCATAGCTATATGGTCTCAGCTCTCAGGGAGCTTGCAATCTAGTTGAAGGGACAAAGCAGCACAGCAAACACAGAATTAAACCCTGGACAATGAACAAATGCTACACCACACAGTAAGACTCCAGGCTATACTCTCTCTACTGCTACCTCCTCATTCTTGAGTCTTAGTTAGCTTCTACGATAACTCCTCAGAGAAACCTTCCTGGTCCACGCAAGTCATTCCCCATTATTTTCTACCACTGCACTCTATTTGTAATTAGATTATTTATTTGCTTGTTTGCTTGTTACTTGTTTACTGTCTGTCTCTCAATTAGAAGGGAAGCTCCAGTGGGAAAGAGCCAGACCATGTTTGTATTATTCACTGGTATATTCTCAATGCAGCACACATCACAGACATTCAATAAATACCTGTTAAATGGATAGATGAATGGATGGCTGGGTGGATGGGTGCTTAAATTCAGAGTAAAAACACGAGATCTAGAGAGGTCAGGGAAAGTTTTGTGGAGAAGTGGGCCATTAATAATGGGAAGTATTTGGAGAGCTGCAGGATATTCTAAGCAAAAGAAAACAGTAGTTCACTAAGCACTGACAGAGGAAGGTGCCTACAGGATGCCAGACCCTGAACCAGGCCCTAAGGTACACACATGATCCAGACTCAGCTACTGCCCTCAACACCTTCTTGTCCAGTAGAGTATCAATCAGGCACAGCATGTCTGCAGGGCACTGAGGCAAATGGCCTCACTAGGAGAGAGGGCAATGGAAGATAAAGGTAAACAGGGCATCTAACAATGGGAACAATTCACAGAAGGCCTGCAAGTTCATGGAGCAAGTTGGACATCACGTAGTAGAAAACAGGAAGGTTCCAAAAATGTCCAGTGAGGGAGCACAATCCAAGCAAGATTCTAGGAAATGGTTTCTGTAGAACAGTGCTGTCCAACAGAACTTTCTGTAATGATGGAAATGTTCTATAGCTGCACTGTCCGATACAGTAGCTACCAACCACATATAGTTTTTGAGTGTCTGAAATGTGATTAGTAAGACTGAGGAACTGAATTTCTAGTCTTACTTAATTAGCTTAAATCAAAATAGCTGCCATGTGGCTAGTACTGGACACCTCAAAAACCTGGGACTCCAAATGCAGTCTGCGAAATGGCTGCACCCACATCACCTAAAGCTTGTTAGCAATGCAGAGTCTCAGGCCCCAGACTTGCTGTGTCAGAATCTGAATTTTACCTGGTCTCCGGGTGATTCACATACACATTAAAATGTAAGAAACACTGTTCTAGAACTGCACTTTAAAATCACCTGGGGAATTTTACAAGTACAGATGCCCCACCCACACCAATTAAATCAGTATCTGTGGGGAATAGGGCCCAGACACTGGTATTTCTAAAAACTGTCCCAGGTAGTGTATTTCCCATACTTTCCTGCTCTGAAGGGTTACTTGAAGTGCTTGTTGAACTTCCAGACAGCACTCCTATGGAATTGGAATCTTCAGAGAGGTGCTCAAGAATTAGATTTAAAAGGCACCCTAGGCGGCTTGTGATCAGACACGTTTGGATAAAATGGCTCTGCCAGAATGGACTAGGATGGAGGACAGAAAATAGACACAATTCAGTATATTTTCATTAACACAGATAGAATCAATGGCACCAACAGAGCCACATACGATAAAGATCACAAACAAATGCCAAAAGAAAGAGAGTTATATTTCTTCAATTCCAAGCCTCATTCTTTTATATGTTGTAAGGTTTCTGAAGTCAGAATGCGTCTACTTTAACAATTGATATGTACATTTAAACAATGTTTCTCATTTCCCATTCCCACTCCCAAAAAGCTCATGTTAATTTAATAATGTGTGTAGTACGCAATCTAGATTGTTTTCTTATAATTGAGGATATCTAGTAGGTCAGCAATCAGGGGAACCCAATTTTAACTAGTTCCACAACCCTAAGTAATGTAATTTTTCTAGTATGCTTATCTCCTGGCTTTAATTATTATCTTCAGACTGATAACATTTCCCCCAGCCTATAGATTCTTGCTTTCATCCCTTTGTGCATTTCTTCTCTTCCTCACTCTTCACCTACCATATGCCAAGCACTCTGCTAGGCAACAGAAATATAAGTGCAGTAGACAATGCCACTACCAGAGGAAATCCCCACCCAGCCAGGGTGACAGTTAACACTAATATAATAAATGCTGTGAGAGTCCAGGAAGAGCAGAATGAGCTAAGCCTGGGGAAGTTCAGGGACAACTTCCCAGGAGGGGTGATGCTTGCATTAAATCTAATGTAACCACAAAATGAGTATAAAAGCACATGGTTTGTTAAAAAGATGAGGGATGATGAATCCTGGTGGTGTGTATACAGGTGTTCATCACACCATTCTTTTAACTTTTCCACATGCTGGAAATTTCCATAATAAAAGTTTGGGGGAAAAAAAGATGAGATAGATACTACAGCATGGAAGAACCTTGAAGACATTATGCTAATTGAAATAAGCCACTCACTAAAGAACAAATACTATATGGCCACTTACATGAGATATCTAGAGTAGTCAAATTCAGAGAGACAGAAAGCAGGATAGTGGTTGCCAGGGGCTGGCAGAAGGAGGGAATGAAGTGTTATTGGTCAATGATACAGAGTTTCAGTTTGGGAAGATTGAAAAGTTCTGGAGATGGATGGTAATGCTGGTTGCACAACAAGGGGAATGTACTTAATGCCTCTAAACTGTACACTTAAAAATGCTTAAAATGATAAATTTTATGTTATATATATTTTACAATTTAAGAAAAAAATGAGATCCATCTAAATGTTCTGATGTGGACAGATGCAAAAGATATACTTACTGTTCACTGAAAAAAGCAAGTTGCAGAATAGTGTGTATAGTGTAATTACCATTTGCATAAAGAAAAAAAATATAGATACTTGTGTATGTACAGATAATATCTGGAAGAACACCAAGTAAACTATTAACAAAGTTTTTCTCTGGCACAGGGAACCGGACAGGAGAGGAAAAGGGCCTTCTATTTTCTACTTCAACCACTTATGTACAGTTTTACAAACTTTTTCTGTTTTCGTTTTTAGGTGGCTGGCTGGTATGGGGATCCGATCCCTTGACCTTGGTGTTTTAATACTGCGCTCTGAGCTAACAAGCCAGCCTGGTTTCACGAACTCTTTTTTTTTTTTTTTAAGATGACCAGTAAGGGGATCTTAACTCAAGACTTGGTGTTGTCAGCACCAGGCTCTCCCAAGTGAGCTAACCAGCCATCCCTATATAGGACCTGAACCCTTGGCTTTGGTGTTATCAGCACCATGCTTTCCCAAGTGAGCCATGGGCCAGCCCTGTTTCACGAGCTGTTTAAATGAGTATGTATTGCTTTTATAATTAAAGCAAAAAAAGTGTATAATTTGTCTGGCAGACCATGCTGTTTATGTGTGAATGTCTTCCTCTTGCTGGGAACACCTGGAGCTAAGACAGTGTCTGATTTGCCTCTGTCCCTCCATCCAGCACCCATGAGGCATTCAATAAATGCCGACTAGTTGAATGATCTGGCCATATTATATAGTGTTCTCTTTCACAAATGCTAGGTAAACTGCTGGGCACATTCATTCTAGCCCAGTCAATGAAGATGAAAAAATAAATAGTAAGCCACAAGGGCAGACAATGACGATGGTCCCTGGTTCCTTCAGAGGCTCTCATCAAAAGCCTTTATTGGAGAAGGCCATTGTTCTGCCTAAGGCTTGATAAATGATCTTACCTCATCATATCCTAAGATTGCTGCATAGAAATTATTTGTCATGAGGATCATGTTCTTCTTCAGGATATAGGAATTGACCTAGAGAAACAAATGGCAAAAACAAAAGTATGAAAGAAAGGAAAAAAACCAAAAAGTATGATCTTTGGCTCTTAGCTGTCACAGACTTTTAGTAGAACAGAGAAAGAGCCCCTAACAGGTCAAACTGCCAGTCCATTCCCAATTCCCTGATCTGTTAGGATTCTCCCCAATTTGCCAACTTTTTTTAGGTTTTGATACCAAATTACACAAAACAGTCAGTCAGTTTAATAAACTGAGCCCTAACTACATGTTTGGTTTTGTGCTAGATCCTATGAACACAAAGTACAAGAAACATTTTCTTGACTGGAGGAGCACATAGTCTAGTATGGGAAAACAGGCATATAAAAAATAATTACACTGCAACATGTTACCTCAAATCCTATTCCAAACTGCTGAGTAATAAGTGAATTTCAGTGCAAATAACCTCTGCATAGGGGAGCTGGGGAAGAGTTCTCTAAGAGGTAACAGTTAAGTGGACCTTGGAGGAGGAGGACTTTGGCAGGAGACAGTGAGGGGTAGGAGAGGGAGCATTCTACACAGAGGGAATAAGGTGTGTAAAGGTGCTGGAAGAAAAATGTTTGGGGAGTGTCAGGGAAGTGAATGGGCAGGAACACTGGCAAGGTGTGTTGGGACCCGGTTAGGAAATGTCTGAAAGGCCACTCAAAAGAGATTGTTGTGGTGAAAGGACAAAAAGAAGGAAACTGTCAGAGGTGGGAAGAGGAAGGAGAGAAGCAGGACTGTGAGCGAGATGCTGAAGAGAAAGGAGGGCCTCTGAGGCTGTAAAGAGGAGAGAAGAATAAGACGGGCAACTCTGAAGTAGAAAGACTATTAATGTTAAGATTGTTTTAGAAATGCAGTTTCAGTGAGACCATTGAGGGAATTCCTTTCAGGGAATGGCCAGGAGGGCCTTCAGAGCCTGGAATGCAGTTCAATGAATGTCTTCAATAGGGGAAAACTTTGACCTCCCGACAGTAATATGCTTGAGGGCAGGGTCCATGTTTTACTCCTTTCTGGCATCCCTGAAGAAAGCCAGTTTAGTAATGTGTAACACAGAGTAAGGACTCCTTGACCATTTAAACTGACAGGTTTTAGAAACTACCAGAAGTCACTGGAACTTTGTATGGAGAATAAGATTTCTGCTTAACAGCCCTAACCATGAGCATGTCCACCATTTACTAAGTACCTGTCATGGGCTAGGTGCTTTATGGACATCATCCCCTCTATTCATCACCAAAACTCAGAGAGGTAGATGTGTCATCATGACCTATAGACTATAGGTGACTAACAGACTCAGACATATGAAGTGACTTGCCCTAGGTCACACAGCACATTAGTGGTAAGGCTGAGATTAGCATCCAGGTCAGTCTGAATCCAAATTCTATGCTTCTCATATTCTACCAGGTTTCTGCACCCAGAAGGATAATTATACTTTGGATCACAAATCAAAGACTGAATGATTTTATCCTGTGGTTCATAACAGGTCTCTGAATAAGGACTGAAAGTATGCAAGGATTTGGATTTAGAGTCAGAAAACCTGGGTTCAAGTCATGGTTCTGCTATGTACATAGGATGTGATCATGAGCAAGTCAAATAACCTCTCTAAGTCCATTTCCTTGTCTTTTCAATACTCTATACAAGGGCTGTTTTGAAGAGCAAATGAGTTACTGTGTATTCACTCAATTTAACAACATATGCTGAAAGTCTTGGTAAACTGCACAGTGCTCTGCAAATGCAACAAATTATTAGTAATAACTTCTGGTTTGTTTATATAAAACTAAAACCAGTTCCAGTACTTTATAGTCATGAATAATTTTCATATATGAAGGGAAAATTGTGAAGCTCAAGCCTGGAAAATGTGAGATTGGATGTAGATGGGAGTGTACGCCATGACCTTTCCCCCCACTTTCAACCCAGGCCACATCAGCCATCCAGCCTTTGTGTTCTCAGAGCTCCCTGTGCACACTTCTCCCCTGGGCACAAAACATGCTTTAGAGTTGTTTATGTAGCTGTCTCTCCACTAGTCTGGGAGCTACTCAAGGGTCATAGGAACCATGTCTGATTAATCTCAGCACCCTTAACAACTGGTCCAGAGCCTGGCCTGGAGCAGGGGCTAAGACAGGCATGTTGATGACTAAATTCATACAAGGGCCTGAGTCCCATACATAGCACATTCTATCTAATGACACTGGTTGGCTTAGGTTATTATTATTATTTTTCTTGCTACCGAATACCTTACATTCCAGAAACACATCCTGCCAAACTTCTAGTGCACCATCTTCCAGAATGGACTGGGTGAAGGGAATAGTCAAGAAACAGGCCAGAGCTAGAATTTATTCCTTGTCATGTGAGGATGAGACTACAACCCAGACTTCTTGATACCCATTTTGGGGCTCTTCCCATTCCCATACTAGTTGTTCTCCTAACTGTGCAAGAAGAACCACAGCCACAAAAGGATGTCAGAAATATCCACCACTGGGGCTGGCCCGGTGGCGCACTGGATAGTGCGCCGCTTGGGAAGCACGGCAGCGCTCCCGCCCGAGGGTTCGGATCCCACATACAGACCGGTTCCCGCTCACTGGCTGAGCGAGGCACGGGAGCAAC